CCCCTCCCTCCCTCCCTCTCCCTGAACAGCATCGCCCGCACCTTCAACAGTGATAACCGGCGCACTGCCCGCTCCTCCGACGCCCGCGGCGCCGTACCATGTCCAGGGGGCGTACCACGCGTTGCTGGCGCCTGATGTGGCGGATTGGACGGAGCGCGCTGTGTGGGGCGGTTCGGGGATGTCCGATGCTGGCGGTTGGGGTGCGGGTGCGGGTGCGGGTTGGGGTTGGGAAGCTTCGCCTGGCTGCTCAGGTGGCGGGGAGGTCGGTTGTACGGGCGAAGTCGGTTGCCCCACATCAGCCACGGCGACGACGGCGGCGGCGGCGGGAGGCGGAGGCACGATAGCCAAATCCTTCCCCCCATCCTCGCTCCTCGTCTCACCGGCGCCCTCTCCCTCTCCACCAACAGACGCCGAAGGAGGCATAGACGCCGCGCTCGGCGCCGGCGTCCAGACGTAGTCCCACCAGCTCGCCGAGCGCGCCGGCATCTCTCCGTCTCCTTCTCCGCGGACTTTCAGCTTGTCTTTGTCTTTGTCCGCCTCTGGGTCTGCGTTCGCGGTTGGGGTGTCTTTGGTCTCTGGTGTGGGCGCAGAGGAGGATGGAGGAGGTGGAGAGGAAGCGGGAAGAGGCGTCGATGTGCCCGATATAGTATCCGCTGCTCGTTGTGCGGGCGAGGGCGCAGGGGCGGGGACGGGGATAGGGTCGGGGAGCGCGGCGGGTGCGCTTGCGGTAGACGTAGGCGTCGGCGCCGGATCCACTTCTACATATACCCACACCAATCAATATCTGTTCAAAAATAAGATCGAATGACTAGTAAACATACCTTGAGCAGAAGTAGACGCAGGCGGCAAATACCCCTCATGCACGCCCGCCGCATGCACATTAACGTCCATCACGCGCTCGAGCGGGACCTTTGCGCGGCCCAGTAGCGGCAAAGCGAGGCTGTAGCGGGACGATAGCATGCCCATTCCTCCGTTGCTCTTGCTATTGTTTGTACTTGTCGTTGTTGATGGAGGTAGTGGGGGAGGTGGAGGGGATGCGGACGGGAGAGGCGGGACGACGTCGTCGATGCTCATCGGCGTCTGCGGCTCCGACGCGGCGGGCGCGATGATCGTGATTTCTTGGGGTATTGGGGGTTGAGCGTTGGATGGCGGCGGCGGTTGTTCTGACTCTGGTTCGGGCGTTGGCTCCGGCACCGCGACCTCCGTCTCGAGTGGCACATCGCCCCCACCCTCAACCTTCCTCTTCAAATCAGGCAACCTCTCCCGCGCACTCGGCAACGCAGACGGATCCATATCGCCCCGCGCAACAACGAGGCTCAAGCTCGAGCTCTGCGCGCTCTTCCTTGACAGCGTGCCCCACGACGGCTTGAGGTTGAACCCGGATGTGGCGGACCGGCGCGAGGAGACGGACGGCGAGCGCGGTTTGTTGGGAGGTTTGGTTGTCGACTTTGTTGGTGACGATGTGGTAGATTTGGACTGTACAGGTGTTGAGGAGGAGGAGGAGGGATGGAGGGACATTGGTGGTGGTGGGAGGAGAGGGCGGTGATGTCACGCTGCGCAGGCGAGGACGCGTTCAAAGGCATGTGTTTGACGCGCCGCGTACTGTAGCGAGGAACGTGGCTCGCGCTTGTTGTGCAGAACGTTCATCTCGCTTGCCTACGCGCCTTGTATCTGCGTCAATATACGTGCTATTCGTTTTCTCTCTGCTCGCGTCTTCGTGTGTGACTGGAGATGAACGGAAAATAATGTCGGGATGTGTATAAGCGCGCAGTATACCGGGAATAGGCGCCTGGCGCGTTCTGCTTCTCTGCGCGCGCCCCAACCCCCAGCGCTTGACTGGAATAGCCGCCCGCCCCGCTTTAGCCGCGTACACGGCCCGGCCTGACCTGACGCGGCGTACCACTTCGACGGTCTTGATCGGAGGTCGAGCGCACGCGCTCGACGACGACGTGACAGCGCCGCTTTCAGCCCGTTTTGAAGCGTGTCGTGAGGGACGCGTGCAAACGCTGATCTCGCCTGCGAGCGCTATGCGCGTTGACAAGATACGAGCACCCATACCTTCCTCCTGTTGTCCATGGACGCAGGTCGACGCGAGCCATCGACCATCACTCCCGTTCCGGAAACGATGATAATCAGTGATGATGAACAGGCGGCTGCTAGGCGAAACCGGATAGCACAACGTGCTAGAGCTACAGGAGAGCGAGTCGCTCGTGTGGTTCTTCAAGCAGCTGAAACATACGGCTGTTTTACTATGCTTACCTGTGTTCGTGCGAGACTGGGCGCCTGGCAAGGGGCTGCGCCCAATGCCCAACACTAAGTTGCGACGGTGCGGCCGCCCGCGGCATACGCGAGCAACCTCCTACTCGCCTGGTCGAGCTGCGATTTCACGGCCGATGTCCTATAGGGCGATCCCGGACCCTATGTAGGGTTCAACTTCGCCCGTTGCTGAACCGTCATAGGATGACCTCGGCGCTCGAAGATAGGAAAATGTATACTGCTACGTTCTTTCCGGGGAAGCGATGCTCAAGGCTTGACAGGTAATCAAGAAGCTCGCGCAGACGTGAGGCCTTTGTCTGAGCTTGCCTTATTCGGACATGGGGCGCCGCCGGCGCTACCGGCGCTACCGGAGCTACCGGTCGTTGAACATCTCGTTCTTGCTCCTACGAGAACAGTGTCAATTGCATCTTCAACAACTTCGAATTCTTGATATGTTCGTGGAGACCTTGTTGTACGCGGATCTCCCGTATCTCTTGCTGCGTTGACTCCCGCTGACCATGTTGTTAAGAAGGATGTTCGCCCATCTACGTATACGTGTCCGAGATCACTACACTCACGACGACGATACGTTGTGCTATGCACGTAGAAGTGCTATAAGACGCCGGCGCATCTAGTCTCGATCGCAAGCAAACGCACTGCTGACAGGAATCGCGCAGAACCATGGCTGCGGTAGATCCAACATATCCTGCCTACCCTATCGCCTCGATCCTGGCTGTAGCGACGATGATGCTCGTACTCTTAACAAACTTCGTACGGCAAAGTTGGAATCTTGGCATCACCTTCACGTGTGTTTGGTTTCTTCTCAACAACCTCTTTAACGCCGTAGACGCCATAGAATGGTCGAACAATGCCGACGTCAAGCTTATGGTGTGGTGCGATATCAGTGCGCGTCTATGCACTTCGGGGTGTACAGTACTCCTCATGAACACTTCTTTAGCCTCTCGTGTGTATATTGCTATCGTCGTTGGGGTGAACATTGCGCCTCTTCTGATCACGCGTCGACTGTATCTGATTGCTAGACTTCAATCGGTGGAACTTCCCGGCGCGAGAGCGGTGCATATCTCCTTACACTATCAGAGCGTACATAGCTGACATGGCCCTGTCTCAGAAACTCTGGGATCGCATCGTAGAGTGGACTCTCGGGCTCGTATGGCCTCTAATCAGTGCCGGGCCTCTCTGTGAGTTGGATCCGTGTCAGTGTGCTTATTCATCCTTCCTCACGACTGCTGTAGACTATATCTTTGAAGACATGCGCTTTATGGTGTATGAGGGCCAAGGATGCACAAATGGCATCGCCGAATCACTACTGTCCTTCGTCGTGCTTCAAGTATGGAACTTGCTTCCTTCTATCATATCTGTGACATTTTACTATCGTGAGTGGACTCAGGCTAGCTCAAAGAGAGACTTCGATCGACTATATGCTCACCAACCGAACCTCAGCCAAGGTCGCATTCGTATTCTATCGGCATGGCAAAGAGGCCAATCGATTCCTACGCAGCAACAACTCAGTATCGCGCACGAACTACTTCCGCATACTAGCCATTGCTAGCATCGACCTTTTGCTGACGGTGCCATTGGGACTGGTGTCTTTGGCCTTTTCACTGCGCGAGCAGAACGATTTAGGCGGCCTACCTTGGTATCCGGGCTGGAAAGCGGTTCATTCCCATTGGGCGCCATCAATCATCACGTACGAAGAAGCTATATCTGGCGGAACAGTTGCCGTATTCAGCTTTTATTACGACCTCTGGCAGACGCCGATAGAATCATTCATCATCTTCAGCCTCTTCGGCCTGACAAAGGAAGCTCGCGCATCATACTGGCACATCATCTGCACCATCTGCGGATGGTTTGGGTGGAAGCCTGCGTCGGGCACTCGAGGGACTGCCCCGGAGATGGGCACGATCGAGTTTGGCGAGCGTCCTGTTGAGGATATCTCGCTTGGCTCGGGAATCAGGTCCGTACTTGTATGCACACCCCGCATCTACGATCTTGCGACGCTGACCGCTTCGAGGCAGAACTCCGAGCTTCGTGAACGTCGATCGGTCTCGTGCTGAGCACGATGCCGAACGTGGACCTGAGGATGCGCCCAGCGTGTCAGCGCTGGAAACTGACAAGGACGAAGGCCAAGTCAGCTCTTCCGATAATGCAGGGTACGCGCATATTCCTTTTTAGATTAGAGGGCATCATCTTGACCGGTCGGCGCAGAGTACTCGACAACGAGGCAGTTATCGAAGGAAAGGTCGAGCAGGAAACCGTGTCGCTGAACTCAGGAGCGACGGCTGTATGACGTTTCGGCGGATCTGTTCATGGGATGGAGGGATATATTGCTCATTGGACCTGTAATATGGATGTATGCGTTATGAGTATAGTACATGGCTCATAGACATATGTGGCGTATGAACAAGTCTCGCCATCCAACCGCAACAGTAGTACATACACCGACCCACGCAAATCCGCCCACAACCTCGATCCCAGCTTTACTCTGTTCCATCTTGAGCCCCTGGGGTCACATTCTTGAGGAAGAGCGCGCAGAGCTCTAGTTTGAGTCTTCTCGTTGCGAGGAGAGGTATGGAAGATGGGCTGCCGAGTGCAAAAGAGAGGTTACCAGGTTTGAAGTTGAACGCAGGTGTGGTCGACTGGCTCGCGGGAGATAGAGAGCACGGTTTGGATGATGATTTCGTTGATGATGATGAGCTGGATTTGGTCGGGGTAGGTACCTTTCAGGTGGTGGTGGGAGGAGAAGACGAGGATGCGCGCGCGGAAGCTGCAGGCATGTGTTTGACGCGCATATCGAAGAACAGCGAAGAACGTGGCTTGTTCAGAACCTCCATCTCGCTGGCCTACGTGGCTCTGCAAGCTCCTGAAATATACCGCTCCTTCCTGTACTTATTCTCGCGCGTGATACTGGAGATTGGAGGAGAATTGTGTCGAGCGAGCAGGCTGCGCCGGCTGCGCGCAGGGTTCCAGGAATAGGCGCCTAGCGCGGTCTGCCTCGCCGCGCGCGCCAATCCTCGGCGCCTAGCACGCTGTGCTGCCGAGCCTCTATTTGCCTGCAGGACGTTCTGACACGATGGCCGGGAATTCTGACACGATGGCCGGGAAGATGATTGTTAACTGTACTCCTCATCAAACAGCGAACATACCGCGATTTCGCTACCTATTGCTGACCAGACGTACACAGCGTACCCCACCGCGTGCACTCAGAAGAACATGCTTGCCCGCGTCAAGCACCGGTCGCCGCAGATTGCGGTGCTGTGCCTATCTTGCGCCTTCTGTCAACAGAGGACGCCCCGTCCGTCTGTCTGAGCAAATGGGCCCCGCATGGTCATGCAAGTGCGGATCGCAACCGTGCCACACCTCTTGATCCATTCGAGTTGACCGCACGAGCAAGAATGGTGGCGGGAGCTCAACAGCCTGAGCATACTCTTGTGTCATACCACACCCCCTCAAGAGATACAGTAGGCGGCGTACAGGGGTGATCTACCGGCGAACATAAGCCGGATTGCCTACATCTGCACAAAACGCACTCGCTTCCGGCCTCGATCCTAGCTCTCCGGTACGGCGATCCGTACTGTATGACGTGCCAAGCTCGGCTGCTGATACGTGCCTATAATGTGGAAGTCCCGATGTGTCTGCAAGCACTGTAAACGGTTCCTGTTCGGGACGCTCGGCACGTTCAACATGTCAGAGGTCATGATGACCTCTCTTTCAGATGTGATCTTGATCCTCATGTGTATCGCTCAGGAGAGTTCTTTTTACATATATCTACAGTCACTATGGAATACCCCCTGTATACTCACAGATCAGCATCTTGCGATGGGCGCGGTCGATCCCACATACCCACTTTTCCCCGCTGCTAGCATCTTAGCCGCCGTCATGTTGTGGCTGGTGCTCTTGACCAGCTTTGTTCGTCAGAACTGGAATCTCGGTCTGGTTCTTCTTTGCTTCTGGCTCAGTCTGCAAAACCTAGTCGTGGGGGTCGATGCTATCATCTGGTCAGATAATGCCGATATCAAGTACTATGTATGGTGTGACATTGGTGGGTATATCTTCCATGCTACTGCAGCCACATGCCTCTTCGATCTGACACGACGTGATACCATAGCTTGCTTCCTGCAGAATATGGCCATCGCAACTCAGCCCATGACAACCTGTATCATCGCACGCCGACTATACCTAATCGCGAGTTTGAAATCCATAGATCTTCCAAGCACGAAGCAGGTCAGTGATCGAGATGATATCGCGCTTGTCTCGACCCTCATCTTCACCAGAAACGCTGGAACCAGGTCATTGAGTGGACAGCTGGTGTCATTATACCAGTGTTGAATGCGGGTCCACTTGGTGAGCCAGATCGTTATGACCCGGCACCTCCGAGCTGCCACTCCAGCATTGCACGCTGACTTCCGCTATAGGTTACCTTATACAGACAAGCCGCTTCGACGTTATCGAAGGCTACGGATGTTCGAGCGATATCTCCGTCTCAATACTCATGATCACACTGGGGATCGCCTTCAACGTGATTCCTCCTTTAGTCTCTACCGTGGTCTACTGTCGTACGTCATCGTCATCCAGAAGATAGGGAAGATCTCTGACAGGAATTTGTCGTTCTCAGCAAAAGTGATGTGGACCTTCTACCGCCAACGCAGGGATGTCAACCAGTTCTTGCACAGCAGCAACTCGATATCGCGCCAGAGCTATTTTCGCGTATTTGCCGTTGCCGTCCTTGACACCCTGTTCACGCTTCCAATGGGAGTCGTCGCTAGTGTCTTCTCAATCATGCTGGCTCCCAGACCGTTACCTTTTTACTACGGCTGGAAAGAAACACATTCAGACTGGCAACCAAGCAGTATATCTCACGCGGACGTTATCTCTGGAGGAAGATTCTCCGTCTTCGTCTACTACTGGTCGCTGTGGTCAGGAGTAATCCTGTCGTTCTACATCTTTGGTCTCTTCGGCCTCACGCCGGAAGCCCGTGCATCCTATCAGCGCATCATCTACAGCTTAGGAGTGCGGCTCGGTTGGAAGCCTGCCGAGCGTGTGCGGGATGTAGGCCCGGAGCTGGAAGTGATTGCCTTCGGCGAACCTGCCGGTATGGGGGAGATAACCCTGGGTTCATGGACGAGGTACGTTCGCAGATCGTCACAGAATCTTATACGTCAGCTGACGATCCTTTGAAAAACGCTCGCAGCTTCGTTGATGGTGATCGCTGCTATATTGAGCACGAGCCTCAACACGTGGCTATCCTAGAAAGCCCCCACAAGAACTCTACAGGCGAAGGGTACGTGAAGTACCGATGTCATCGGCATGTCCGTAACGCTCCACTTAGAACACTCGTGGGTCTTTCTTTGGTCCAAACGACCGAGAAACTAGAAGAGTTCAATGGTCCGGCCCTCTCATTACCACCTTTCGCATCGTCCGTGTAGATGCGTTGCAAGCTCCGGCCAGTGCGCCGCCGTCGATTGCTGAGTATCGGACATAGGGCTAGCACATGGAGAAGGAAACGTCAGTGGCTTCCAGACAGGGAGCGAGGCGGAATAGGTCATGGATGTAGGGGATAAGCAGTTCAAGGGGCTTTTGCGAATCTGCCATGCGGCCGGATAGCGCGTGGGTCCGATGTGATCCGGAGTCTTGCATTATTTAAGAGCGTCGCGCTGGCAGGAAACCACCTTTGCGCACCCTCCAGCAAGAACATACGCGCTGCTTTAATTCATTACTAGGCTCATGGGAGATTTGGGTAAGAGAAGTTGGCAAGGAAGATCCAGTTGTTGTGAATGCTGTCATAGAGGGCGGCTTGCTAGAAGTCACGTTATCGCGTAGACGCGCCGGACACGCGTAGACGCGCGCGGGCAGCTTGCGGAGAACGCTCGCCTCGCCTGTCGTGCTTTGTACGCATTCGTACTTCGTTACAGAATACACACTTGCTTCTGGGTCACCCATACATAGGGCCACAAGGCCGCTTTGGACGAAAGTTCATGTGGCGCTGCTTCCCTGTCTACTGCGACGAGGACGACCGCCATCGCATGATCGCAAGTGCCCTTTCTATAGTATCTATTCCTTCCTGATACATCCTATGAACGCACGTCGTCGCCAGCCATGCGCTGTCATTTCCCAATCTGTGGCGAATTGACAGCTGCCAAGCGAAGCAAGACAAGCACAGCGTGCCGAACCTGCAGGAAAGCGAGTTGCCCCTCCAGGCGCAAGAGCGGTGTCACCATATTCTGCGTCCGCGGATATGGCCCACCATCTCCCGAATACGACCCTCCGATCTGCGCGCATATCGCTCCGCACCATGAGCACCCTGCCGCACCCGAGACGGGATTCAGACACACATGGGACGCATAGGCCGCTATAAGCTCGCGCGTTCGGTGTAGTATGCAGGACACCTGGACAACGCAATGGTCGCGGCGGACCCGACGTACCCTGCCTACCCCGTCGCGTGCGCTGTCGCTGCAGCGCTAATGCTTCTCGTCCTCTCTTCGAGCTTGGTCAGACAAACATGGAACCTCGGCGTTGTATTCCTATGCATCTGGCTGTTACTCCAGAACATCGTCAACACAATCAACACTATCGTGTGGTCGGACAATGCGGACGTCAAGTTGTACGTCTGGTGCGATATCGGTGCGTTATAAGTTCTCGTGGTAGGGGCATGGACACCCAGATACATTCCAGTCACTCGCCTCGACGTCGCGATGACGGTCGGTTCGAATATAGCCCCACTCATCATTGCTCGCCGGTTGTACATGATAGCCCACCTTCGTTCAACGAACTCCTCTGGTGGTCGAATGGTGCGATGTGAACCAAAGACCTGACCCGATCCCGCTGACATTCCTGGTGCAGCCCACATGGTGGAACCAAGCTGTTGAGTGGGTCCTCGGGCTCGTATGGCCCCTTGTGAGCGCTGGACCTCTGTGTACGTGAGTTCTGCACGTCTGAACCCGTCACGTGATTGACATCATCCCAGATTACATCTTCCAGGGCGCGCGCTTCGAAGTGGTTGAGGGAGCCGGCTGCGTCTTCGCTCCAGCCATGAGCTCGATTCTCGCCTTCGTACTATTAGCGATCTGGCTCTTGCTGCCCGCTACCCTCTCAATCGCAATATACTACCGTGAGTGATGCCGTAACGACGATGTATGGGTTTACTGATCAGTATGCTAGCCAAGATCGCATGGATCTTCTATCGTCACAACAAAGAGATGAACCAATTCCTACGCATCAACAACTCCGATATGACCCGCATGAACTACATACGCGTACTAGCCATGGCCAGCCTCGACATCTCACTGACGCTGCCGATAGCCATAGTATCGCTCGTTCTGACATCCAGCAGCCGCCCAGATTATCTGGGATCTCTCCCTTGGTACTCCGGTTGGGAAGCCACCCACTCTCATTGGGAGCCGATCGGGATTCCGTTCTCTTTCGTCGTATCGGGAGGAAAGTACAACAAGTTCATCTATTACTGGTATCTTTGGCCGGCACCTATCGTTTCGTTCGTCACGTTCGGCATCTTCGGTCTCACGAGGGAAGCGCGCGCTTCGTACCGGCGCGCTTTTAATGTCATTACTAGGCGTTGCGGTTGGAACTCCAGCCTGCGCACGGAACGCACCAGTTCTCGGTTGAGCGTGATCGAGTTCAATGCTCGGCCTGTAGAGAGTTCGCTGGATACGGACGTCAGGTCAGTCTTCTCTGTGACACGTTCCGCGGGCACATCGACTGAGCATGGTGCATAGATCACATCTATCAACCGAGTCTTGGGACGTGCACGGCTTGCGGACCAAGAAAGCCGCTCATAGCGAACTTGGGAGTGCACGAGAACCTTGCGAGGACAAGAAGGGCATAGACAGTACTGCTCCGCCGCTTGCATCCGCAGTTTCGGCTGTATGATTCAAGTTCGCGCATGTATCGCAGAAGATGGAATGATTGTATTAGATTGAACGACTGTGTATCTCTATATGATTACATGTGCGAGAGGATGGTAAAGTAGCGACCATTCATGCGCTGAGGCAGCATGCCGCCTCGTGCGGGCAGCCCCCATGCATTCTCCTGGTACCGGTCATCCCAGATGATGCCCGCTCAGCGCTCAGGCGTCCATCGCCCCCGGCCCTCTTCATGTGAACGAAAGAAGTTCGAACATCGCACCAGCGCCAAGGCCTCACACTAAGCGGAGTACCGACCCCTTTCAAACCTAGCGGCCCCCCCTTCATTTGACGCTATCCATGCGCCGTATCGCTCCCCGTAACGACCGGGCCCCAGTCGAGGTTTACGCGCTCTGCTCGAACGGGGTATGCGGTCGGTGATTGAACGCCAGTGTGGCGGTATGGCGCGAGGAGACAAACGGCGAGCATGGTTTGCCTGATCCTTCGGAGGGAGACTTGGGCGGTCTCGAGGAGGAGGGTTGGAAGGGCGTTTAGGTGGTGGTGGGAGGAGAGGTAGGCGAGAACGCGGAGGTCCGGCAAGCATGTCTTTGACGCGCCAATCGAAGAACGTGGCTTGCTCCGAACGTCCATCTCGCTTGCCTACGCGGCCTTGCAAGCACCTGGAATATACTGCTGTTCCCTGTACTCACTCTCGCGCGTGATACTGGAGATAGAAGAAGAATCGTGTCGGGCGCGTAGGGTGCCGGGAATAGATGCCTGGCGCGGTCTGCCTCGTTGCACGCGTCGCAACTCAGCGCTCGAAGGACCGCCCGCAAATTGAAAGCCGCCGGCTAGGCTCGTTACCAGAACGCTGCCGCAAGAGTCCGCGAGGGAGTCGTTTCCGACAGCACGGGGTGCTGGCCTCCTTACGCGCAGATAGCGGACTGGGAACGAGGCCACCATCCGGCATCGCCACTGAGCATGCGCGAAGATCGCCGCGTACTTCGGCACTGTTTGATTGCCCCTTTAGCCTATTGTCCTTACAAGTCCATACGACACAGGAGATGCGTATCCGTGTACAAGATACCGATGATCGTCTGTCATTGTGCAGCGTCATCACCGCCCAACACCCGATGGCGCCGCGAGCGATCTGTCTAGAGCACATTCGCGGTTTGACCGGTGACCTCGAAGGCGCGCATCGCTAATAGGAAAACCTTGGTAGGATTTGCCATTGCTATCTCCATCCGCATGCCTGCACAGCTAAGTGCGTTTTTGGTTCAGCTTCGGTCATACGAGACTCTCATCTCGCATTGGCGGAGATTGGCGGCTGCCCCCGTATACTTCTCCCGCCCGGTCCCCCAGGCATCTCCGACAGTTGTATCTCGAGTACCATTCATGACGTCGGAGCATCCACTTGCATTTCTTGGCACCGTCGCTTCGCGCCAATCTGCTCCCTCATGCGGAAACAACGGAGGCGTAGTCCTTGTTCAGAGTAGGCGACGGTGTAGAATCATGCGTTCGGGAGCGTTATAAGACGCTCGATGACTATCCTCATGCCAGACTTGAATCATCCCACGAGTTCGCAGTGACATAACCATGGCCGCGGTCGACCCGACTTATCCCAGCTATCCTATTGCATGCAGTTTGGCTACTGCCTTAATGGTGCTTGTTTTATCGACGAATTTTGTCCGGAAAAGCTGGAACCTTGGCATCACCTTTCTGTGCGCCTGGATAGCTATCGAAACGCTCAACCAGGCCATCAACACAGTCGTGTGGTCCAATAACACCGACATAAAACTATATGTCTACTGTGACATCTGTGCGTCGCTGTGCTTGGATGTTGGTTCTACGTTCACACTGATTCCAAATTCCCCCGAACTAGTCACTCGTCTTATGGTCGCCGCGAACGCTGGAGTCGGCATTGCGCCCTTGCTCATCACGCGACGTCTTTACCTGATCGCTACACTGCAGTCCGCCAGTCTATCGATATCCACCCAAGCGGTACATTTTCCCAAACAGTACTATCTCAGCCTGCAATGAACATCCCATACTGATGTAAAGTATGCGCCAGCGGCATTGGGACAGGATCTTAGAGTGGACACTCGGACTAGGATGGCCTCTTGTGAGCGCGGGCCCTATCTGTGAGCTGACCATGCCATGAAACATGATTTCTGCGCCATTCAATGTGCTGATAGCATCTTAGACTATGTTATGGAGACCGAGCGTTTTGAAGTGCTCGAGGGGGAAGGATGCTCAAACGTATTCGATGGCTCGATACTCTTCATCATTCTCTCAGAGGTCTGGAGTCTACTTCCCGGTCTCATCTCCGTTCTCATTTACTACCGTAAGTAGCACGTTTCTACTGGTACATGTTCAAGTGAATAATACTGAATACGCCGCAGCGAAAGTCGCCTCCACATTTTATCGTCATGGGAGAGACGTCAATCAATTCTTACGCAGTAACGGGTCTGTGTCGCGCACGAGCTACATGCACGTTTTGGCCATCGCCAGCATCAACCTCTTGTTGACGTTACCCATCGGACTCGTGACTTTGGCCTTCTCTCTGCGCAGTCAAATGGACGTGATAAAGACTTTCCCCTTCTACTCAGGTTGGAAGGCTGATCACTCTGATTGGACCCCGACAACTGCCCCATATCCTGGCGCTACGTTCCATGGTACATATCTCGTCTTTTACTGGTACTGGGGTCTATGGACGGCACCTGTGACGGCATTCGTTATCTTCGGTCTCTTCGGCCTGACGAAAGAAGCTCGCACATCATACTGGCAGATCATCTGCACCATAGGCAATTGTTTTGGATGGAAGCCCGCGTCAATTGCTCAAAAGAAAGGTCAAGAGCTGGGCACGATCGAATTCGGCGAACGTCCAATGGAGGAAATTTCGCTCGGCTCAGGGACGGGGTGCGTGACCCATGATAGTACCGGAGTGGGAGTCCTGAAGTGACCGCACTAATGCAGAACTTCGAACATTGTCAACGTCGAATGCAGCCGTCTTGAACCTGATGCCGGACGCGGAGCTGGGAGCGCAGTGAGCGAGACAACCTTGGATACCAGCAAGGATGGAAGTCTTGTCTACCACACTTCTGGCGAGGAAGGGTACGCATGCACCTTCCCTGGACTTTTTGACGCCATTCTGACGTCAGACGCAGGGAGCTACAGGAGCTTCACGTCATGGAGGCAGAGGCAGAGGGCGCCGGTGAAGCTGTCAATCCGTTGGAATATTGAGTAAGTGCGATCTGACCCATGGGTATAGTGATATTGATCGCGAGACACGTGTATACAGACTGGTATATAGAATATAGTTAGGATACGTAGTCCCGCGGAGCAGTTGCGTATTATGCACCTAATAGTCTTGATGAGATGTATGTACTCGGTGCTTGCTTCATCAACTTTCGCTTCTACGTCAACCCGACGCCCCTTCCAGTGCCGAGCCTTCACAGCCCGACCATTTACACAGTAGTACCCCAACTTGTCTGGACCCGAGCGTGCCGATACTCTCAAGATCCTAGCGCGGTGTAAATGAAGGCTTGAAGTATGATTCTGGCGGTGAAGAGGATGCAGAGGGATGGAGGGACATTTAGGTGGTGGTGGCGAGAGGAGAGCTGGCCAGTGATGTCAGGTGATGTCTCGGCGCGGACGCTCGGCAGAGTGTAAGGTTCGTCCGTAGACTAATCCTTACACGATAACTTTCTCACACCAGAACCAGAACCAGAATGTAGACTCGGATTCGGGCGAGGGGAAAAAGTCCCCTCTCAACTCTACACTACGAGGCTTATATACGAGCTACTCTACGGTAAGGTACGAGATCACCGGTCGTCGGTCCGAGCGGGAGTGCGAGGACCGGCGCGGAAAAGTTTAAGCGTGTGTTCCTCACACAGAGATGTGTTTGAGGCGCATGTCGACGTGGCTAGCTCAGGACGTTGATTTGGCTTGCCTACGCGGTTTTTTGCAAGCAGCTGGGATAGACTTCAACTTCCTATACTCACTCTCGCGCGTGAAACTGGAGATAGAAGCAGAATAGTGTCGAGGTGTGCATAAGCGCGCAGGGCACCCGAAATAGGCGCCTGGCGCGGTCAGCCTCGTTGCGCGCGGCCCAATTCCCAGCGCTAAGCTGCAGCCGCTCGCAGCATACGCGAGCGACTTCCTACTCGCCTGGCCGAGCTGCGATTTCCGACTGACATGTCCTCCCATAGTGGGACTTCGCCCGTCGCTTAACCGAACACTGGCATTTCTGGTTCGCTGGACTTGAGGGCAACGGCCATATCACGTTTAGGGGTATGAAGAGGTCGTTGATTCACTGGATCCATAGTATGTATGCCCGAGTCATGAGAAATGTACATGTTGGGCGCGCTGTCATGACTGTACACAGGCTGTATAGCAGCCACCAGCCTCGCCATCCGACATAACGCGCTCACATCCCCACCAACTGCACAATGGAACTCCGATGCGCGCGATTCCGTGCGCGAGCGTTGAGATTCGCGCAGGGGACGGTGCGCGGCCTGCGGACTGTCGTAGTTGTAGGTCCTAGCGCTGGTCCACTTGCAGCAGACTGTTGATTGGGAGTGGTTCGAGTGACGGTGCGACCTTGCTTCACCTGTCGCTGTCGATCTTCTTCAATCCTGAGGCCTGACGATGAAGTTTGCGCGCTTTTCGTCTCTGCTGTGAGAGCGGAGCTCGAAATCTTCGGTCACGTGCATCCCGTGGGTATACTGCGGTGCTCGTCTAAAGGTTCTTTTGGCAGGGATCAAGCGTAAGTCGACATGGTGGTGGTAGGGAAGTGGACAATGAGAGGACGAGTCGACGGCGACGTGCTGCGGACTTCCGACTTCGGTGACGTCACGCGTCGGATGTTTGAACGAGACGCGACGCGCGCCCGCCGTCTGCGCGCTCGCTGTTTGCGGAGGACAGTCATCTATCATCTCGTTCGGCTCGCTCATACCTGTGCTTTTCACCCTCATTGGCCGGGAGGAGTATCTACGGGACTACTCAAGATGGCGAGTTACATATGAGAAGCCTAGGACACCTGGAATAGGCGTCTGACGTGGCCTAGTGCATAGCTCGAGTATTCATCATTAGAGCAGTCGACTGCGATGAAAGTTCGAAAACTGGTGTAACGCGCGGTGCCGCACCTCCGCACCGCGCAGTTTCGAAAACATCGCCGCGCTCGACGCCGCGCTGCCGCACCGCGCACCTTGCCGCGGTGTCGCGTTTTCAAAAGCGTGATTGTCCCACGGCGCTGACAGGGCAGGATAGGCGATCCCGCCTGTAGACGTAGCGCAACTGACCGCTACGCTGGGTGCAGGGTGGCTGCGTATGAGCATGGGCGTGCGGGGGAGATTCCTCGAGAAACACTGTATTAATTTGGAGATTTTGAGTGAATTCTTTTTGGCTAAGCGAGCCCAAATAAATCGCGAAAAACCGAGATATATTGAAATTCAAAAGTATCCTACTTGAAATATTATTATGTACGCGAATTACGACGTCAAAGTATACTGTACAAGGCGCCGTATACGATAAA